TGTCTCCTAGCCTCCCTATGCACCCATACACCCATGCACACACATACAAACGTATAGGTATACATTTGTATACACATACACACACTACATACATACAAAAGGAAACTGTTTAACACAATATTTATTTTTCTAATGCTATACTAAAATATACTTCAGCAAAAAAATCTAGTTGAGTAGTTATACTTTATGAGTTAGTACTAGACAAATATTAAATGGTTCCTCTAAATGACTGTGCTCACTCAGTGGCTAATAGGGTATGAGAATAAACCTGGAGATGAGTGTGTAAGTTGAGAAAGTTAAGTGTGAATAAATTAAATCTCCCTACATCTCGCAAGAATTCAGTATCTTCCTTTAAATAAAAAACAAACCTGGTTTTGACATCTGAAACATTCCTTTTGAAAAACTTTTGAACTCCTTCAAAGTGACATGAAATTCTCAGGGACATCCATACTTACAGATTTACACAAATTAATAAATGATTTTCTTAGTTTTTTTTAAATTTTTGATATTATAGTATAATTACAAACTTTCTCCCCTCCCCCACAGAGCCTTCCCTACTTCGTCTCTTTCAAAATCAAGGCCTCTATTTTATTATTATTGAGTGCACATATGTATTTACATATTCCAATATTCAAGACACTAAAATAACGAAAATTTTCAGTTTGTCACATACAGATGGCATTTCGTCATTCATCAAGATCATACACAATGCATCAAAGTTACCCCAAAGTGGAATACAGGAGAAAACGGTAGTAGCTAAGGCGATACAGCTGCTAAAGCAGTTATGACATCATCTACTCGATGCACACACACTCATCTTAACAGTAAAGTGCTCTGGTATCACACTGCTGCCTTCAAAATAAAATCCTTTACAATTTTTCTTGAAACACCTGCAAAATCGATGGAGGTCCTTAGTTACATTCCTTCTCACACAGGCATAGGTGCCCAAGCAGTAAGTTCAGCAGTCATATTTTCCTTATATGTTATAAATTTACCCATTTGTTTCTAAATGATTTGTGCAAATGAACGATGAATTGTACAACAAATGCTTCCTCCAATTCATGAGTAGCAATAGCTGAATTTGGGAGACTTTTGGGGGTCTCATTGTGATTCAATATGGATTTATTGTGCCTAAAGTTAAGGAAACTTGGACTCTGATTTCTGTAGCAGGGGTTTCATGAAACATGTAAAATCACTATTTTGTTTATTAATGGCAAAGTTTAGGGGGAGAATGCTATTGCATGGAACACTTTAAGAGCACCCAACTACAGCCTAGAGATTCTAGTTAATTCTTCACATTTTCTCACTACTTTTTAAAATAATAGCATTTATTTTAAAATGTAAATTGTGTCACTTCTCACTCAGGCACTTTACTTTTTTTTTTTTTGGTTTTTATGAGACAGGGTTTCTCTGTATTGTTTCGGAGGGATCGGTCCAGCCCAGCCTCGAACTCACAGAGATCCGCCTGCCTCTGCCTCCCGAGTGCTGCGATTAAAGGAGTGTGCCACCACCGCCCGGCCAGGCACTTTACTTTTGACAAAATAACATTCTTTAAAGTATAAATCTTTAGTCTTCAACATAACAGACTTCAGGGTTACAAAAGGCCAGGGACGGTGGGCTGCTAGGCGGTGCTGGGGCTACAAGAGTTTCTACATTATTGAAACCATCAGAAATCTTGTGGAGACAAAGACAAACTATGTGACTGTGAACACAGAAAAGACATTCAGAGTACGGGGCTTCTCTACATATTTGAAAGATCAGCAATGTTTAATTAGTGGTTTCAAGAACTACACATCTTTAGAAGCAATAACAGAAACCACTAAGATCTGCCTTTAAACTCATAATGTCTCCTGCCTCTAAGGAGAGCAATAAACATTCATTGAATCTAGAAAGGAGATCCCAGAAGCCTGGAGTTTCAATGGGACTTTCCACCTAACCCAGACCTGGAATAGAAACAGGATTCCTGGACACTAAAGCCAGGCTTGGGCTTCATAAGACCCAGTTCTCAGAGGGGGGGCAGGGGGTCTGGTGGTCTTCCCTTGAGAAGCCATTTGAACCACTTTTGCTTCTCTTTTGATACAAGCCAGCCTTCTGAATGCCAGTGTCTTCATAGACAACAGCAGAGCAGGCTGATGCTCATAAGGCTGTCTGGTTGAGTGTTCCTGCTCTGCTCTTTTACCCTGCACAGAGGGTCTTTTCCAGAGAACTGCTTTCCCCGCCATGGTACAGGAGGAGCTTGCTCAGAAAGGCCAAGCCAATCCCCTGCCCAGATTTTGACTTACTGATTGCACTGTCCCCCCCCCCCCCCCATCAAGAGCAACCCAGGAGACCACAGCATCCTGGAACAGGAGAGAAGGCCACTGAGCAAGCAAGCTTCAGACAGGAACGCATCCTCACCATCCTGTTTCCTGGTCCCTCTCCTCCTTCAGCATCAAACCTGAGTCATTTACACATGTAACCTAGCCCAACCCTCCTACAATGAGGCCATGGAGTTTGGCAGAGGAAGGAACTTGAATCTTAGCTTCACTTCTTACTAGCTTTGGGGGAAATCACGGCCCTTCTCTGCCTAGTGCATAGGTTCTCCCACACAGATGATGAGAGTTGCCATTCCGTACATGTGATGTGAGGACTGACAACACGTTTGAAGCAGTCTCCAGAAGTCTGCTCGGAGTACAAGCACATATGGTACCATAGATTGGAGGGAGGGATAAGCCCCAACCTCACTTAAGGGAGCCAGTCTGGAACAAAACCAACAATTTGAGCAAACAAATCCTTTATCAGCACGTTGCAGAAAGACTGTCTCAGGTTTTCAATAATCTGCCCTTTAGAACTTAAGCCTTTACTGTAACAGATGCACATTTGTTTGCTACTTTTATTGCTATACCCAGAAGCATTTTGTTTTAAGTGAATACCATACAAACAGGTGAAAAATGTGGCATTTCTGTTTTACCCAGAAGCAAATCTGCTACCACCAATAGTGCTCATGACAGTAATGCTGAGGATCTGGGTGCTGAACTGAGAAAGCGAAGATCTACAGGAGGGTTAAGAGGGCAATTGAAAATTAGGAGATGGAGTCCCTCCTGTGGGCAGGGACAGATGCCACTCAGCTGAGAGCCCTAGAATTAGCAGTGCACAGCTACTGGCTATCATACGCTGGGGGAGGGGAGACCTTCTGCTAAAGAAGATAGGAGAAAAACTTCACACTAACCCATCAATGAGAAAACTAACTCCCCATCGCTGACATCACCCCTGTTTTTCCCTGCACTGCTAGACTGTCCAGACCACTGATGGCCCAAAACAGTGCTGAGAATTGATATGTAGGCTTCCTGGGATGTTCCCAGTCTATGGCAGTAAGTCGCAAACCAAACACAGTCGTTTAATTCTCACAACAAACTAGTGCAATTTGGACATATGGAGTAGGAGGAGGAGGTGTAGTTTGTTTTGCTTGTTGGTTTTTTAATCCCAAATGATTTCATTGTGTAGTAAAGTTTGAGAAACTGAGTCTTACCCCCCCCCCCCAACAAAAGCGCGCTCAGCACCAACCCCCAACTCCAACTCGGATGCCAGTGACATCAACAGCAAGTGCAGACCTGACTCTTGGAACCCGAGCAGCTGGATTTTGAAATTGTGCAATTAAACCTTCCGAGGCATGTTTCTCGTGTCAAGTGGGTTTATGGTCGGGTAGTCATGAAGCCAGACTTGTTCATATTACGTCTGGACAGTTGGCACACGTGATCCAAGGACATCAATCCGTTTCTTTTTAATTAGGGGTTATATTTTGGTTGGCCCGATATCAATCACTTCATAAGGGCAAAAAGAAAAAAAATTAAAAGCAAACTCCAAAGAGGGGAAGTCGCAGACAACAAGGAGAAAGTTTGCTGTGGGCCTCATTTTGAAACACTGAGGTTGAAGCACTCACAGCTACCCAGCTGTCACAAGGCTCTCAGCCATGCGATTGCAAGGCCAAGGGATGCTACCGAAGCCCTCCCTGCTGGGAAAGAGCAAACTTTGGGGATCCCAGGGAAGCAGCCGCCCAGCAAGACTAACTCCAAGTCTGGCAGGGAGCCCTAGTCCCCAACCAGTGCACCTAGCCTGGCAGGTCCCTGGTGTTTAGTACTCTGTGGCCAAGAGGCGGGACCGACCCACCCCACTCCACCGTCCCTCCCGCCCCCCGCGTCTGTTTTTGCTAGCGAAGAAGCGAATCACCACCAACACCATCCTTTCCGAGGCGTCCCAGGTGATTAGTGTCAGAGACATCTCCCACACATTCAGGTCATCGCTGCAGCTCCACACCCGCGGAAGGTCACGGACGAATTAGTTAGTGAGACCCTTTGGGACTTGAATTGCCAGGCCCCAAGAGAGCAGGGGTAGAGGAGAGAGGTGCGGGAGGGCGTGCTCAGGAAACCGCTTGTCTCAGAGGTCCCAACCTTGACCAGGGGCGCGTGCTGCTGGTTCTTCCTCCAGTCCCTAAACTCTGGGACTATGCGGATAGGACATGCCCGCCTTGCGAGCGAACCCGGGGTCTCTCTAGCTCTGTCTGACAGTACTTGTCGCACGTGCGTCGATGCCAGGCTCTGCCTCGCACCACGTTTCCGCTCCCGGACTCCTACTGAGCACAGAAAAGTGAGGCAACTAAGTTGGGAGCTGTCGGGGAGTCCCCGGAGCGCGCAGGCACTGTTCCCACGCGGCGCTGGCAGCCCCTCTGCCCCCAGCCTGGTCTCCCTTCCTTAGGCCGCCCCAGTCTCGACCATTCCAGACACAAGACGCCCCGTTCCTCCCAGAGGTCCAGCGGATCCTCTGGGAGACAGGAGAGGAAGGGCGGGAGGTTGAGGACTCGGAGTCTGGCACGGACAGCCAGGGCTAAGCGAGCGCTCTCCGCAGGGGGAGCGGGCCGGCGGGACACGCCCTTACCTTTCTTTTCCTCCAGGGCCCCACCTGCGGCGCAGAGGGCGGCCAGTAACAACAGCAGGATGGTTCCCGTGATCCCGGAGGGTCGCATCTCTGCCCAGGAGAGGCTGGCTTCGATTCTCCGGGATTAATCCGAGACCGACGGAGTCCCACGGTCTGCGCGGCGACTGCGTCGTCAGCGACGCGATCTGGACTCAGGCGCGCGTCCAGGTGAATTGTCGTCGGTCTGGGAGGCGGTGGCCACCGGGAAGCGCTCCAGACGCCCTGACCCGGGGCGAGCGCACTGTACGGGAAACGGAGGAAGGCTGCTGCGTTGCGCTGGGGCTGCCCAGACGTCTAGCTCGCGCGGGTCGGGACTTGGGGAGGTTGGGCGGGAGGAGGAGGGACTAGAGAGAGAGGAGGAGGGATCGGGAGGAGCGAGGAGGAGGAGAATGGCAGGAGAGAGGAAACACTCGCAGAGAGGATCGAAAGCAGGCAGTGACCGGAAGGTGGTGGTGAATGGCCTTGGCCGCAACCCGATCAGGCTCTGGGGCGAGTCTAGACTGCGTGCAGTAGGGTAGCCGGTGGCCTTTGGGGTTAATTTATGAGTGGGAACTCCTTTCCGCTGCGTTTCAGGATCTAGGCAGTCCAGCCAAATCTCTCTCTCTCTCTCTCTCTCTCTCTCTCTCTCTCTCTCTCTCTCTCTCTCTCTCTCTCTCTCTCTCTCTCTCTCTCTCTCTCTCTCTCTCTCTCTCTCTCTCTCTCTCTCTCTCTCTCTCTCTCTCTCTCTCTCTCTCTCTCTCTCTCTCTCTCTCTCTCTCTCTCTCTCTGTCCCACCTTCTCTTTCCTTTCTTCCCTTCTTTCTTCCAGTTTACGTAGCAACTCTGAACCTCGGGTACAAACTGGCTGAGCCCTAGAGCACAGGCTGGAAAAATAACACTGATGGAGGCAGACTCTACCTCGTTATTTCTCCTTAACTCCTCCTGGACAGCGGGATCTTAGCAGGGTCAGACTGGCTTGGCAGCAGAGTTCCCAACCGCGCTGGCGGGGTTGGGGTGGTGGTGCCAGATGTCTGAAGTGGCACTCCGAAGTCCGAGAGTCCTTCAGATCCCGTCAAGAACTCTCCACATCTTCTGAAAGGAGGACAACCAACTCCAGGCACAGAGAAGGGCAAATGTTTGCTGAATTAATGCATGAGTGTTGAAGAGCGAAAACATGGCGTTTTTTCCATCAAGAACCAGTTAGGAGTGCTTGGAAAGCAGAACAGTGTGTGCATGAGAATTCCTCCGTAAAAGCGAAGACTTGACACAGACAACAGTTGACTTATCTTTTTACAGCAGTTAGCAGTGACTCCAGCTAGCCTTGCCACACACCAGTAGGCAAACTGCCAGGTGAAAGTTCTCCTACAATTTGGCCAGTAGAAAATGATGCTTCCCCGAACTGCAGGAATGCCAACTAAATTCCTTCAGCAAAGACCAACTAACGTCACTGCTCCTTAGCTATGGGAGAAATGTCCCCTGCCTCCATTCAACAGCCAGAATCCCTCCGTTCTTCACAAAATCCCTTGATCCCCCAATTTAGGTCCTTTTAGGTCTCCTGACTAACAGGAGTCACTGTTATCCAGCGGGGTTCCGGCTAGGCTAGCGTTTTTCGTGCAGCCAGGAGGGAGGCACTCCCAACTTTCTTTCCCAGCAAGCAAAGAAAGGGCTGCTGCCCAAGTTCTGCAGCTGGCATCCTGAATGGGGGGATTTCACACAGCCTGCCCAGGACCCCTCTTCATATCCTGAAACCTTCATTGTGAAGTAGAGCGAGCAGGATTTCTTAAACTTTTCCCACCTGCAACCGGTTCTTGTAGTTTTTATATGAACCTTGGGCAAGGATTTATATAAAATAGGTGTGCAAACCAAACATCTGCTAATGCAAGATCATAAAGAAATGTTAAGATAATTCTTTGGCATACATATAACTTTACCACTTATTAAAGATTAAAGCAAATTCTCATGCTAATGAGATGGATTTGTTTATTGTTACATAAAAATTAGATCTTGACTGAATACTTGATGCTGGAGGACACAGAGCATCTACAAAACTATTCAGAGTTAATTTAATATTCTGGTTTTAGTCCTCAATGCAAAAAAAAATGGAAAAAAGTATAATTAGGGCTATTTTGGAAATTCCAAATTCCAAGCCAAAATTCACTTAACACTTTTTATTATGAAACTCAAGACCTTGATTTGAAAAAGCAAACATTCAAACACAGTACAATCCAAACATGTCCATATGAAGCTCATGTGCTAAGGGTCAATGGTGGGAGAATAGTAAAAGGTTTTGTTTTCTATATTAGAACATTATTCATCTACAAGAGCCACCAACTATATGTAAAGTAAAACTGCTGAAATCTATACTATACAACAGTCTTATGTCTGATCTGAGTTTTTGAGGCAGCATTTCCTGGGAGCCTATGCTGTCACAGCATGCACAGAAACAAGGCTGCAGTCATTGTGTTTTGAATTTTTGAATTAAATTTTTCGTCATAGCAATTCAGAAATCTTATACTGCTGCCAAACATTTTCTGCTTTCCTCCCAGAGACTTGGGTCCACTTTTTAAAGTAATATGGGAAATGAGAGCAAAGCAAACAAGAAACAGTAAAGCACAGGATGATGACAAAATGAGTCGTCAAAAACAAAACAAACAAACAAAAAACTGCAGACAGCAAAGTCTCACTTAGAAAGGGCCACAAATCTGGATTGAAACCATATTTTCATGGTTTCAAGTCATAGTGGACAGATAATAAAGCAGAGTCAATAGCTGCAACAGATTTTAAGAATACCTAAAAATCCCCCACACAACCCTAAAAGAGGATTGTTTCCAAAGACAATAATTCTCCCTCTGTTAGCCTTATGAAGCAACAACCTTCATACAGCTGCTGGTTAGAGTGTCCCTTGGTATAACCTGGTTGCCATCCAGCCGCTAGGAGCAAAGCTTCATGGAGACCATTAAGAAGGGGTAGGCAGCACTTCGAAGTCACAGAGCACAAAACTAGGACAGCTTCTCCGATCGAGTTTCCCTTTAGGATACCTACATGCAGTGTGGAATCTTCTGGAACATCCCTTTAGGATACAAACATGCACCGTTGAATCGTCTTAGCTTTAATTATGAAGGGTAATGTGGTGAATTCTTACTGGTTGGAAAGTGAGTCCTGGAATTATTGATGCTTATGTTCACTAAAGGTGGTCTGGCCAGGCTGGCAGAAATGACTTCTGGAAAGAACAGAAGAGCCTTGCATAGCCAGAGCTTTGCACATAGGCTCTGTGAGAGTAACCATGGCAGGTACCCAGGTGAAGTACTCTCTGTTGCCACACCATCCAGGAAAGGTAACAGCAGTCTAGACTCTGCTGAAGCCTAGTGAGACGTCAGATATCTGACGACTCTTAAGCTGACTTACATTTTTGCTTTCCTTTTTCAATGTCAAGATGACACTGTGGATAAGGAGGATGAAGAACTCTGTGGAGCCCAAATTCTGCTTGCTGATATGTGATGCAAGCATGTGATCCAAACATGTTCTCTGTCGCCTCTCCTGAACCTGAGCTGAATATTGGCTTCAGGAGTCTAGACTCTACGTCGTCATATGCCCCCAAGTTTTTAGATCAAATGCAACCAAAATGGCTGCTTGGCCAAGAAAAAAAGAAATTATGAATAAAGTCCAGGCTTGACATACTAGCAAGCACATGTTAGGATCACTTTCCACAGCAAGTCTCTCCAGGGTGCCTGTCTTTACATTACATGCTGTTCATTCTCTGGTAGAGACACTAGACAAGCAATTTTTTTTATGAGTGGCTAAATTAGAAGCTTTTGAGCATGGTGTGTTGAATAGCAGTTTAATCTCCCCCAAGAGTAACCTGGAATTGAATTCCCCCAATTCACACATTCCATGGGAGGAAAGACAGATTGGCTGAAGATACAGCGAGGTAATGATACGAGGGTTTCTAGTATTTTTGTTCTCCTTCTTGTTTGGAGAATTTATTTTTTTCATTTCTATTAGTCAAGAATTTTGTATGACATAGTTAAATCATGCTTACCTTCTGCCTCTAGTCCTTGCAGTTCCTATCCTTATTTCCAACCCGCCCAACTTTGTATCCTCTTTTTTTTCCCAAGTACAATTTGTGCCATCCATATACTCTTGGATACACGGCCTTCATTGGAGGGAGGTCAACCTACCAGGGCTTCACCCCTAAAGAAAACTTATTCCCCTGCCCCAGAACCTATCAATTATCAATAGTTCCTACCCTAAGGTTGAGACTTTGTGACTACCTCCTTGACCCATGCTAGAATGTTGTCTATCTTGAGCCTGTGCAACTGCCCTGCTGTGTCTAGATGACAACGTTTCCTTCTAACCATCCACGTTCTCTGACTCTTACAAATCTTTCCGCTTCTTCTGCAATGATCCCTGAGCCTTGGTCTTCTAATATTTTAAGTACATCTTAGATGAAAGGTATTTAGCCACCTGATTTTTCTTTTCTTTTATTCTGGTCTTAGGAGTAAAAGTGAGGAGTTCATAAAATGCTGACAACTCTTCAAAATCCCTCTGTGTATCCAAACATAATTGGACCCCTCAAATTTCCAGAGGGAACTTATTATTAACAAATCACTGTAGGAGCTTTTAGCAGAGTTTAACATAGCTGGAGGAAAGGAATAGACAATTCTATCTTCTTCCAAGTATCTCGAGTGAGGGTGAGGATCTAGCATGCTTGCAGTTTTCAGTTCAGAGACACTGGCTCGCTAAAGAACTAAGACCTATGGTCATCTTCCCATCTCCCCACCCTGTACTGCCCCCTACAAAAAGCCTCATTGTTATAGTTCTTATCCAAGTACATCATTTCTATCCTTCAACAAAAGCTTACAACAAAGCTGTCTTAGCCAGAGTTCTATTGCTGTAAAGAGACACCATGAACAAGGCAACACTTATAAAATGAAGCACTTAATTGGGGACTTACAGTTTCAGAGGCTTAGTCTATTATCATCATGGCAAGAGCATGGCAGCAGGCAGGTGTGGAAAAACCAAAACACGCTAGAGGACCCAGAGATAAAACCATACAGCTATGGACACATAACCCTTAACAAAAACATAAAAAATATGCACTGGAAAGCAAAAAACAAAACAAAAATAAAAACAAACAAAAACACCAACCTTTTCAACAAATGGTTCTTGATAGCCATCTTCAAAAAATTG